ATATATATATATATATATATATATATATATATATATATATATATATATATATGTAGATCTATACATATATATATATATATGCATATATATATATATATGCGTGCATTTGTTTGCAGCGAGTTGCGGCATTCTCTGGAGCGTCTTCGCGTGGCTTCTTCTTCCGTTCGTCTTTGTTTGTCTTCAATTCGGCGTTGCCGTTTGCTGCCTCCTTTATATATTGTTGAGAAGCAGCAGCAAAAGCAGAAGCTGCAGGAAGAGCTGCTGCTGCTGCTGCGGCTGCAGCAGCTCGAAGCGGTAGTCCTCGCTGCAGAGAGCTGCAGCAACAACAACAGCAGCAACAGCAGCAATAGCCGCAGCAACAGCAGCAGCAGCAGCAGCAGCAGTGCAGCAGCAGCAGCGCAGCTGCCGCTGCAGGCCGCACTGCTTATGGAGGCAGCTGCGCTGTCTTCGTTATCTACGCAAAACTCCCAGACAAACTTAGGCCAAAATATTCAGCGATATGTGCACAACAACAATCAAAAAGTAAACCCTAAACCCTAAACCCTAAACCCTAAACACTAAACCCTAAACCTTAAACCCTAAACCTAAACCCTAAACTCTAAGCCCTAAACACTAAACTCTGAATCACTAGCTGAACACCAAACCCTAAACCCCATACTCTAAGCCCTAGACTGTAAACTCTAAACCCTAAACCCGAAACCCTAAACCCTAAAGTGCAGACCCTAAACAGAAAGCTCTAGACTCTGAGCACTAAACCCTAAACCCTAAACAGTAAGCGCTGGACGCTAAACCCTAAACCTTAAACCCGAGATAGACTGTAAACCCTAAACCCTAAACCCTAAACCCTTTTAGTTAGTGTTGTTGGTTGTTCAGCAAAAGCGGCTGCTGAAGAGTTTAAAAGCAGTTTTGAGTTGTGTGCTGCAAACTGCTGCGCGCTCTCTGCCACCTCCCCCGTGCGGCTGCGGCTGGAGGAGGCCCTGGTTTGCTGCAGCAGCAGCGCAGCAGGCGCCAACTGCAGCAGCAGCAACAGCAGCAGCAGCAGCAGCAGCAGCAGGAGATGCTGGGCTACCGGCAGCAGCAGGAGCAGCAGCAGGAGCAGCAGCAGCAGGAGAAGACACGTGGGGTCTGTATTTGGAAGCTCTTGCGGCATATTCGCTGCTGCCGCCGTCGTTCTCTGTGGGGGCTGCAGTGTCTGCAGCAGCAGCAGCAGCAGCAGCAGCAGCAACACGACAAGTGCTGTTTGCGTTTGTACCTGCTGATGCTGCTGCCTTTGCGGAAGCTGAGGTAGATGGAGCGGGCATCCTTCGAACGCGTTTGCTGCTGCTGCCGGAGCAAGGCGCATGTGCTGCTAGTGCTGCTGCTGCTGCTGCTGCTTTTGCTGCTGGCGGTGGTGCTGCTGCCGACCTGCTGAGCATGCGCTCTGCAGCAGAATTAGCTGCTGCTGTTGCTGCTGCTGATGGCGTCTCCTGTATAATGAGTGTATTAGGAGTTCTTTTCGACTGTCTGCTAGGGACAGAGGCGCTGTGCCGGTGGCAGGCAAAGGAGGGGTTGAGCGTGCTGCAGCAATGGATCAGCAAGCAGCAGCAACAGCAGCAGCTGCTGCTGCAGCAGCTGCAGCAGCAACAGCAGCAGCAGCAGCAGCAGCAGCAGCACGGGGATTTCAACGATGAGCGCCACACCGACCTTTTTCCCCGGTCGCTGGTCTCCACACCCAGCAGCAACAGCAGCAGCAACAGCAGCAACAACAGCAGCAGCAATTGCTGCTGCAGCAAACGGGAAATGGAGCGGCCTACGGTGCATGAACTTGCTGCAGCTGCAAGGGGGAGGCTTAGAAAGCTGCCTTCGTTGCTGCGGCTCGGTCTGTTCCTGCTGCAGGTGCGGCAGCAGCTGCTGCAGCAGCGGGAGAGTCTGTGGCAGCGGCTGCAGCAGCAGCTGCTGGAGGTGCTGGCGGCTGTTCCTTTCAGCTTAGGTTCTGCTGCTGCTGCTGCTGATTTTGTCTCTTTGATAGTCGCAGTGCAGCACTTCAAAGCAGCAGGTGAGGCCTTCGTTGAGGCGAGAGACGAGCAGCAAGAGAGCCGTCTTGCTGCTGCTGCTGCTGCTGCTGTTGCTGCTGCTGCTGCAGCAGACACAGTGAAACGTGAAACAGCAGCAGCCACACCCAAAGGCTGGGAAGCAGCAGCGCGAGCTCATGAAGATGCAGCAGAAGCAGCAGAGGCCGCAGATGCAGCAGCAGCAGCAGCAGCTGCAGCAGCAGCAGGAATGGATCTGGAGGCCTCGGCGCCATGCCAGAAGACCAGCAGCAGCAGCAGCAGCAGCAAGTTGTCAGAGTTGCTGCAGCTGCGTGTGGAGGGTGCTCTGCAGCAGCTGGAGGAGACGTCTTTGTCGAAGTTGCTGCAGCAGCTGCAGCAAGAGACCTGGCAGAGACGCCCTGTTGGAGGCCGCCTGCCTCTGCTGCTGCTGCGCAATTCTCCCTGCTTGATATCGCAGCAGTGGAGTGCGTGCAGCGGTGCAAGTGCAGAAGAAGCAGCAGCAGCAGCAGCAGCAGCAGCAACAGCAGCAGCAGCAGCAGCAGCAAAGATATGCAGCCGGTGCGGAGAAGAAGTGCAGTCGTTTACTTTTCAAAACCCCTTCGCCCGCTGGCAACCGGGGAGACCTTTTGCTGCAGCAGCAGCAGCAGCAGCAGCAACAGCAGCAGCAGAATGCGGGCTTTCTTTGCAACAGCGGGAGAAGCAGCAGCAGCTGCTGCAGCTACAGCTGCAGCAGCAGCAGAGGGAGTCTTCTGTTGCTGCTGAGCTGGCAGCAATAGATTTGGAGCTGAGTGCTGCAGGCGCAGCTGCGAATATGCGGCGGCCTCCTGTTGTTGTTGCTGCAACAGCTGCTGTTGTTGAGGGCCTAGAGGGATATTGGGGTGTTGCTGCTGCTGCAGCAGCTGCTGCTGCTGCTCCTGCAGCTGCAGCACCGGCAGCAGCAGCAGCAGCGGTGCACTCGATGCTGCGGCTCGTGCGGCTATACATTGCTGCTGTTGCTGCAGCAGCGCTGCCACCGGGGGTTTGCGGTGTATTGGCAGGTCTGCAACCAGCAGCAATATCCTGGGGTGAAGACGGGGAGAGCAGCAGCAGCAGCAGCAAACCGCACATGATTCGAATGAACAGCGGCAAGCAGCAGAACTCTAATGCAGCAGCAGCAGCAGCAACAACAGCAGCAGCAGCAGCAGCAGCAAACTCCAGATACCAGGAGATGAATCCGCATGCACACCCGCTGCTGCTGCTTGGAGATTTAGATATTATTAAGAAGCGGCTCCCTGACTTTTGCTGGCTGCTGCGACAAACAGAGAAGGACCTCTGGCCTCTGTACAAGCAGCTGAAGCAAGCTATCAGCAGCAGCAGCAGCAGCAGCAGCAGCGGTGGTGGTGGTGGGAGCGATATGCGGGGGAGCAGCACTAGACTGCAGCAGCAACTGCAGCAGCAGCAGCAGCAGCAGCTGCAGCCGCTGCTGCTGCTCGAACTCGTGCAACCTATGAGTAGACAGAATAGCCCAGGTGCGCTTTGGGCAATGCCTGAGAAAGTTGCTGCTGTTGAATCTGCTGCTGAGGTTCTAACAGCTCTCGCGCTGCAGCTGCAGCAGCAAGGCCTCCCCAATGCAGCAGCAGCAGCAGCAGCAGCAACTGCACCTGCAGCAGAATCACAAGCAGCAGGAGCAGCAGCAGCTACTGCACACGTCTCCAACCTTTACCACCAGCAACAGCAACAGCAACAGCAGCAGCAGCAGCCAGTACAGGGTGTACTGAGCTGCTTGTCTGCTGCAGAGCAGCAGCAACTCGTGGAGGCTGTTGCTGCATGCGGGCGGGCGCTGGAAGACCTCCGTTCTCTTGTCTATCGAATTGCTGCTGCTGATGTTTGCTGCAGCGGTGCTTTTGCTGCTGCTATGCAGCGTGCAGCTAAAGATACAGGAGCCGAATGGTGTCCTCCTCCTGCTGCTGCTGCTGCTGCTGGAGCAACAGCAGCAGCAGCAGCAGATTGCATACCTCCTGCGTTTGCTGCAGCTATCAGACAGCAGCAGAGTTTGCTGCGAGATGTCTACTGGAAGCTGCGCTGTGCTGGAGGCGGCAGCATTCCTCCGCTGCTGCAGCAGCAGCTATGGAGGCATATTCTAAGCCAAACTATTTCGGATGCTGCTGCTGCATTTGCGCTGCTACCTCTACCTGCCGATACACCTGAGCGCTGCTTTGCTGCGGGGCCCCTTGTAGCGATGTCGGAGGCCCTCAGAGATATCATTAGAGAAGCAAACACCCAACACGAAAAAGCTGCTGCTGCTGCTGCTGCTGCTGCGCCTGACGGCACTGCTGCAGCGCCTGTTCCTGTTGCTGCTTCGTGTACCGCAGCAGCAGCAGCAACAGCAGCAGCAGCAACAGCAGCAGGTAGTGTGTGCTTATCACCTCTAGACGTAGAGGAAAAGGATTTCGATATTATTGTCGATGTTTGCTCGCGCCCTGCAGCAGAACAGCTGCAGTGGTGCCAGCAGCAGCAAAACTGCAGCATGTTGCTGCTGCTCCCGCGGCTGCAGCAGCAAATGCTGAACCGGCTTGAGCAGCAGGGGCTGCTGCAGCGATGACAGCAGGAAAACACTTCATTTCTTTGTTTTCGTTGCTGCTGTTGTTGCTGTTCGTGCTGCTGCTGCTGCTGCTGCTGTTGCTGTTTGTGTTGCTGTTGCTGCTGCTGCTGCTGCTGCTGCTGCTCGGGCTGCTGCTGCAGGTGGTGTTTTCTGCAGCTGCTTCAGTTGGCTGCACATATCTATATCTACATAGATATAGATATATAGAGGCATTACATATATTTATATATATACATCTATATTTATATTTATATATTTAATACAGTATCTTATACACATACGTACATATCTACATAGATGTAGGTATATAGGGATATTACACATATAAATATAAATATATATATATATATATATACATATATATATATATATA